TTGTCCATCACGGCGCTGTGCACTGCCCTCGCCGAGCCTGCCTGGTTGCACATCCACGGTGGCACCTGTTCCCGCCAGGAGCTGGGGGTCTCCGACGTACTGGGCTATGTGCATCCGGACCTGCTGAAAGGTAAGGCCGCCGCGCCGGGGCCTCTTCTTCCCGGGCGACCGGGGCTCCTCGGGGCTCCTCGGTAGCGAGCAGAATGGGGTGTGGCTGGAGAGCTAACAGCCAGGGCAGGACTTGGTGGAAGGAAACAGCCCCTTGGCTGCCTGGTGGTTCGTCCCCTCGTTAATTAGATGTTCAGCCAAGCACCTCCTTTTCAGGCCATGCTCATAGACGTCTGCTCTTGAGGATTCTGCCCGAGGAAGGGCGCGGTATACGGAGAAAAGATAAGGACGCAGGGCATTAAAGCTGGCTAAGCAATCTCTGGGATGCGGGGAGGTTTCTTCGTGTCAGCTGATTGATGGAGAAAAAAACTTTTAATCTGCTTAGATTTTAAAGTATATTTTCAAATTCTACAGTAGTTGGGTTTTTATTCTAGGAAAAGGGAATCTGGCATTTTAGATAACCAGGAGTCGGTTCCAGCCTCAGTAACAGTTGGACCTTGGCTCTCAGAACCATGCGCCTGGGAGGTGAGGTTTCTTTGCTCAGCCTGGTGTGCAGAGGAAAAGGAAAGGGGAAAGAGACAGGGACTGGTCTCCTTACTGTGGACACAGGGAGGCCACAGCCTGCTGGGGCGGGGATGGTGGGGTGCCTGCTGTCCCAGGGAGCCCAGCTCTGTGTCCAGCAGGGAGGGTACAGGCTATGCAGTGTGAGCGCAGGATTGCACTGCCTGGCTTTTACCGGGAAAACAGTCAGTGGACCCCACTCTACCCTTGGTCCCAGCACAGTTCCTCATCCCCACGGTCTTTTGAACCATTCTTTTTAAAATAATATATATATTTTATTGATTTTTTACATAGAGGAAGGGAGAGGGATAGAGAGTTAGAAACATCGATGAGAGAGAAACATCTATCAGCTGCCTCCTGCACACCGCCTACTGGGGATGTGCCCACAACCAAGGTACATGCCCTTGACCAGAATTGAACCTGGGACCCCCCAGTCCGCAGGCCAACGCTCTATCCACTGAGCCAAACTGGTCAGGGCACTTTGAACCATTCTTGAAGGTCTTTCTATTTTCTCCCTGTGCCACTCTCTGGCTGTGATGTCTTCCAGCTGTCTGCTGTGCCATGTCTCAGAGGCCCTTCCTGGAGATATCTTCACGCCGTCTCTTTAAGGACTCAGACACTGGGTGTGGTGAAACGGTCAAGTTCTCTGTCCTTGGATCTTATACCACTTTTTGCAGGTCTAGGCTGTAAAGCTGTGTCGTTGTGGCCTAACGTCTTTCTCTGAGAGTTCTCTGTTCTCTCTCTCTCTCTCTCTCTCTCTCTCTCTCTCTCTCTCTCTCTCTCGTATTTGAGGTTTTAGAATGATTTAGAGACCAGGATGGGGCTTCTAGTTTGTTTCCAGGTTCTTTCCTGATGATAGTTTTCGCTGGGTTGGCTCATTAAGACAGAAGTTATGCACACGATGGAGGCCCTTGACACGCAGCTTTTTCTCTGGCGTGTAGCTGATGGAGATAGGCCATCAAGCTGGAGTTGAATCTGGATGCTTTTTCCCTCACTTGCCGTCTTTGAAGCTCAGCTGCCACCTTCCACCACTTCATCCAGACCTTGGCACTTGACCCCTGGTGTTTCAGTGTTTTAAGAGCTTGGTGTCACCTACCAACTGGGAGAGAGTTCCTAGTGCTTCTCCCTTTCAGCTCATTCCTAGGGAGGCTCATGAAGTTCGTGTGAGGGGAGAGGCAGGGTGATCCGCGGTCCTTATTTCAGAAGTCCAGGAGGCTGTGTCTCAGAGAAGTGAAGTCACATTTCTTCAGGGCCACACAGCTGGGAGTGACATAGCTGCGCCTGCCTCATCTATTGACTCGGTATAAAGTGATACTGTCTCATTTATCTTTCTTATCCTTTATTTTAGCTGTCATAGGAATGATCTCAGGGTTATTCTGCTTTGGTGTACATCAGTGATGGTGAACCTATGACACATGTCAGAGGTGACACGTGAACTCATTTTTTGGTTGATTTTTCTTTGTTAAATGGCATCTAAATATATAACATAAATATCAAAAATATAAATCTTTGTTTTACTATGGTTGCAAATATCAAAAAATTTCTGTATGTGGCACGGCACCAGAATTAAGTTAGGGTTTTTCAAAATGCTGACACGCCGAGCTCAAAAGGTTCACCATCACTGGTGTACATCCTTGTCAAAACATGTAAAAAATAAAAATAAATTCTTGGTGCAGGTTCTTCTTTGTTCACATATATATTTTTATATATATGAAAGCACATTGCCGCCCTAGCTGGTTTGGCTCAGTGGATAGAGCGTTGGCCTGCGGACTAAAGGGTCCCAGGTTTGATTCTGGTCAAGGGCACATGCCCAGGTTGCGAAAGCACATTGCCTTAACCCAATGGTTCTCAACCTTGGCTGCACATTAGAATCACCTGGGAATCTTTTTAAAATCCTGATTTCTGGACCTCATCCTCCGGAAATTCTGTTTCTTTGTTACTCATGTTGGGGCCCCACCCCATAACAAAGAAACAGAATTTCCGGAGGATGAGGCCCAGAAATCAGGATTTTAAGAAGATTCTCAGGTGATTCTAATGTGCAGCCCAGGTTGCGAACCACTGCCTTAACCTTTACATTTGCTCATGTGTTTAGGGATCTTAACCCAGGGACAGTTTCGACTTGTGGCCATCTCCTTGGCCATTGCAAGCTAGGAATACTTGCTGTCCATTCATAAGAGAGTTGATAATTTGCTTCTGATGGCTCTGCTTCTCCCCTTTCTCTGTAGTGGTTGGTTTTGGTACTCAGTGGGCCTTTAGACGTGCTGTCCTGTGTGATTGTGCTGATCCTCAGGACTTAACAGGTGTCCTAGCATGGAAGTCAGTCTGGTGCCTGTAGATACTTCCAACGGGAGAACAGACTCTGCCAAGTCTCTGCAGGT